GAAGAATTAACCTAGAAGGTAACACACATGCACAGGAAATTAATGTGAGTCAACTCCCTGTATAGCTATCCTTATCTCAACTAGCAAAAACCCTTGTTCCTTCCTATTATTGCTTATACTCTCTCTTCAACAAAATTAGAAATAAGGGCAAAATAGTTTCTGCTAGGTATCGAGGGGGTGGGGGGGAGAGGAAGGGGGTGGGGTGAGTGGTAAGGGAGGGGGTTGGGGCAGGGGGGAGAAATGACCCAAGCATTGTATGCACATATAAATAATAAAAAAATAATAAAAAAAGAGAAACTCCACAGTATATTATTTTAACTTAATTTTCTTTTTTTTTTTTTTGGCAGTACTAGAATTTCAACTTAGGATCTCATGCTTGCTAGGCAGATGCTCTGCTACTGGAGCTCCACTACCAGCTCTTCTTTGTTTAGTTATTTTTTTCATACAGAGTCTTATGTTTTTTGCCTAGTACTGGCTATGGCCCATGATCCTATGTAGGCCTCCTGTGTAGATGCAATTACAAGCATGCACCACCACGCCTAGCTTTTGTGTCTAACTTTTTGCCTGTGCTGGCCTTGAACTACAATCCTCCTGATCTCTGTCTCTGAAGTAGCTGGGATGAGAGGTATGTGCCACCACATATTTTAACTCCAAAAAGTCAATTATCTTTTAAAGAAATTTAGGAATGGGGAGACCTTTTCCCACATATTTTCTATTTATCTTGCTGTTGATTCTCTTGTATCGATCCAAGTTTTGAACTAGTATCATTTTTCTTCTGTCTCAATGTTTGCTGGTAAAAAATCATCTCATCTTTTGTTTATCTGAAAAAATTTTTTAATTCATCTTCAAGCCTTCATGTGTTAAAGGCATGGTCCCCAATGCAGTAGTGTTCAGAGGCAGTTGTATCATAAAGGTCCTGAACTTATCAATGGCTTAATCCATTGATGGATTCCCAGTTGAATGAACTATTGGGAAGTGATGTAGGCTGCAGGAAGTGGGGCCTAGTTGTAGGAAGTAGGTCACTGAGGAATGCTCTTGAAGGGTATGTCGTGTCCTGGTGGCTCACTCTCTCTGCTTCCTGGTCATCATGAGATAAGCAGCGTTCCTACACCACATACTTCCTACCAAGACATTCAGCCTTGCATAGGGCCCACAGCAACAAGGGCCAAAAGACCAGGAAATATCTCTGAAACTATGAGCCAAATAAACCTTTCCTCTGTAAGTTTTTTTTTTTTCCAGATATTCTGTCACAGCAATAGAAACATACCTTATCCACTTAACAAGTATTTTTTTCCTGGGGATAGACTCCTAGGTTGCAGGTTTCTGTTAGCAGTATAAAAATGCTGACCTATTGCATTCTGCCTTGCATATTTTCTGACAAAATTTGTTTTCTATTTGTTTTTCTGTAAATAATTGGCTTGAACTAGCTGCTCTACAGATTTCTCTTTAGCATTTATTTTCAATATTTTGATTATGAGGTATGACTTTCTGTTTGAGGTTTATGCCTGTGGGATCTGTGGTTTTGTTGTTTTCATCAAATTTGGGGAAAATGGTAATTTTTTCGATTCTTTTCTTTGCCCCTGCCCCCATTTCTCCAATGATACTTCTCAGGTTGCTTGATAATTGTTCCACAGGGCTCTGAAACTGTTCATTTTTATTCCCTACTCATCTTTCTTTTCTGTGCCTCATCTTGGATCATTTCTATATTCATTTCTACATGCTCACTCGTCTTCTTCTACAATATCTAATCTGCAATGCCAACAATGAATTTTTTAATTTCCAATGCTTAAGTTTTCACTTCTAGAGGTTCTATCTAGTTTCCTAAAAATGTGTTCTCTCTTCAATGTACTCGTGTGTTTCTTAAAATAACAGTACATAGTTATAACAGTCATTTCAAAATCCTTATGTGTTCATATCATATTTTCATTACTCTTTAGTCTGTTTTTATTGCTTGATTTTTATCCTAATTATAGGTCATGTTTTCTTGCTTCTTGACATACCTACTAATTTTTGATTAAGCTGAACATAATGAATTTTATGTAGTTGAGTGTCAAGATTTTACTGTCTTCCTTTGAAGAATGTTGCATTTTATAATGGCAGGAAGCTAAATTATGTGTGTTCAGTTAGATCCCTTTGAGACAAGTATTTACACTTTGTTATTGCTGAGTCTAAACCAGCCTTTACTCTAGAGATTATCCTGTTAACTGAGGCTGAGCCCTTCTGGAACCTGTATTGCACTCTAAGTGACCCACAGGTTGCTCCATCATGGCTGGATGAACCCTGAATGCCTTCCAGTCTTGGGTAGAACTTTGAGAAACATTCAGCCCCAGATCCCAGTAGTTCTCTGTTTAAGCTAGTAGAGTTTCTTATATACATGCACCTTACGATGAAGCAGCATCTCAAGAGGACTTCTACACAGATTTCTGGAGCTCTTTTCTTTGTAGATTCCATCTTTCTAGAACTGTGGTCCACAAAGTCCAGGTACCTCAGACTTGCTGAATTCTGGTCTCTGCTTCCTCAACTCAGCATGATAGTACTCTGCTTAGGCTTCCCCTTTTCATGCTTCATAGTCTACTCTGTCCCCAAGAAGAAAGCCAGGGTGATTTCAGGACCCAACTTGTTAGTTTCTCTTCTGTTAGGGATCACAGTCCTGGAATGCCTATTGTCCAAAATGTAAAACAATTGTGTCATATATTTTGTCTAGTTTCATAGTTTTTTTTTAAGATAAAAAGTTAAATCTAGTTTCTTTTATTCCATCATCATGACTAGAAGTGGAAATCCTTTCTTATGTTTTAAAAGTGAATCTTGCTGCTCCACTACTGATGAATGGATTAAGAAAATGTGCCATTTATACATAATAAAATTTTATTCGGCCATAAAAAAAGAACGAAAATTTGTCATTTGCAGGTAAATGGACGGAAGTGGAGAACATCATCATAAGTGAAGTTAGTCAGGTTCAGAAGGCCAAAGACTGGATATTTTCTCTCATAAGTGGCATACAGACCTAATATAAATACAGTAATATGAAAAACAGTCACACTAAGGGGAGGTCACATATGAGAAGAGGGAAGGTAAAAGAAGGAAGTTAAGAAGGTGAATATGGTTGATGAACTTCCTATACAAAAATGAATATAGAATTCTTGAATCTGTTGAAATCACCATAAGAAGGGGACTAAGTAGAAAGGAGAAAGATAAAGGAGATGAACCAACTCAGGTTATAATACATATATACATGGAAATTCCAAGGAAACTTCCTGTATAGCTATCTTAAACGAACAAAATGTCATTCTTTTTCTTTTACAAAATTGGACAGAGAACAGGTCCTGTATGGAGGGTTGATACCAGTGGGAGGGGAGGATGTGGGGAAAAGGTGAATACTGTGAAAAAACTATGTACACATATATGTAAATGGAAAAATGAGTCCTGCTGAAACTATTCCAGGAAGGGGGGAGTGGGGAAATAAAGGAGAATGATGGAGGGGGTGAATTCAAGTATGATATATTTGATACATTGTAAGAACTTTTGTAAATTCCACAATGTACCCCCAGTACAACAATTTTTTTTAAAATGAACTTAAAAAAATAAAAATGAATCTTGGAAAATAGTTTGGTGGTTCCTCAAAAAGTGGAATGACCATATGACCCATAAATTCCACTCATAATTAAAAGCAGGGACACATACACATCTTTATGAATGCATATTATAGTAGCATTATTCACAATAGCCCACAGGTAAAAACAACTGGGTGTATATCAACAGATGAACAGATTAACAAAATGTGGTATATATACATAATGCAATATTATTCAGTCTTTTTTGTTTGTTTTTTGAAATAGGGTCTTGCTACCTTGTAGTCCAGGTTGGTTTCAAACTCACAATCTTGCTAGGCAGGCATTCTACGACTTGAGCCACTTCACCAGCCCCACAATCATCTTGCCTTAGCCTCCTGAACACTGGTATTGTAGGTCTGTGTGGCCATAGATAGCTATTATTCAGTGTTAAGAAAAAGAAATGAAACGCTGCAACATGGATGACTTCTGAAAACATTATGCTAAGGAAAAGAAGACAGACACAAAAATGACAAATATTGTAGGATTCTATTTTGAGGTAGAATAGGCAAATTCATAGATGGAAAATAGAATAGAGGTAACCAAGTACTGTGGGAAAAGGAAAGGAGGAGTTATTATTGGTGATAATTGTATAACTGTGTGAACATAATAAATGTGTATTATGATTAGGATGGCAAAAAATAAAAAAGAATCCTTCATCTATAATGATTTTCCACAAATCTTTCAAATATTCTAATAAAATATGACTTCAAAATTTGTGTAATTTTAGAAGTATATATAGTGCATGATTTAAACTGGATCATTTTGCTATAAAAGATAGCATTGGCTCAACTGCCAAAACTTAGATGGGATCTGAGGATTGGATGGTAGTAATTTATCACTGAATTTCCTGAGTTTGGTCGTTGTATCACATTTTTGTAGGAGAATGCCATTTTAGGAAATATACCTTCAGGGTGATGGGGCATCAGGTCACAGCTTATTCTCAATGGTTTAGAGAAAGAAGACTGTTACATTGTTGAAGCTTTTAGATGGTTTCTAATATTAAAAATATAAAATGAAAGAAGTGGAGAAAATTGGGTAATGTTTTCACATTGGAGTGGTAAGGGTGCAGCTAGCTACAGGGAAATCACAGCAAAAGATGGCATTTATATTATGATAAAAAAATTTTAAATTGAAAAAATTTAAACAAAAAAAACTAAAAATAAAAACATAAAATAAATTTTGAAAAGACTGGGTTTAGATGCTAATAAGCATTTGACATATTACGTAAGAGGGATTGCATGCAGTACCTAACATGGAAACCTGTATTGCTTTATAAGACCATAAAAAGAGAAGATGAGAAACAGAATCAAAATGAAATAGCAAGCCATATGCACACCTTCTAGCAAACATCTGGTGAAAGAGCAGCAATCACCTCTCAGGTGTACTTACACAATGGTTTTTCCAATGTGCATAAATGATTTCTCGACAAATTCGCGGACACTGTGGACTTCCCCAGTAGCTATGACAAAGTCCTCTGGCTCATCATTCTGTAACATCAGCCACATAGCCTAGAAAAAAAGAGAAGCAAAGCCACGTGAAAGTCGTACTCAGCAGCCACTTTGGGAATACCATGCTATCAAATACACATAATTGGATATGGAGATGTACAGCTAGAAAATGAGCGTGAATTTAATAGGATATTCTAGCCACTACAGTGATAGTTCTCACAATTTAGTGTGAATCAGAAACATATGGGGGACATCTTGCTATGGATTCCTGGGCCCAATCAAAGAGGCATGGACTCAGGAGGAATCTTTATCTTTAACATTCTAGAAGATTCTGAGTAGATCCTTGAATCACAACTTAGATATTGTTTGACATTGTGGTGGATAAACCTTTCCATAGTAAGTTTATGAAAGAGTAGTTCCAAAAGAATTGTCTAATTGTCCTGCATGTCATAGATGGCAGGCAAGGAAAAAAATCATTTGAACACAGATTGTAAACTGAATCATTAAAATTCTTAAAAGTAGAACCTCATTTCTTAACAATAAGGTGAAAATTTACTAGTCAAAACACAACATAGATAATAATCATTAATGGAAAAACAAGTTCATAATAGAGAGTACTAGTATTTTAAAAAGTTGTCTGATATGTGAACACATTTACATGAGTTAAGGTATACCCTTTTCACACTATGATTGAAATGGATATATTACTGAGGTGTACTCCCTCAACAGGAACAAGGAGTCTGGCTTGGCAAAAATGCAGGAGCATCTAAGACAGACTGGTGGCAGCTTTCACAGTCTGGCTCTACTTGGTTAGAAAAATTTTATCAATAGCATACAGACCTATAAATGCACATTAATTGCAGAGTTTTTTTTAAACACAGAGGACCCAGATTTTATTTTTTAATTAAGTGTTTCTGGTATCTGACAGGAGCATATCTCTTTAAGAAAGATTCAAGCAGGGTGGGGGTGTAGCTCAGTGGTAAAGCATGTGCTTAGTATACATGAGTCTCTGGGTTCAATCCATAGTGACCGAAAAATAGAAAAGGAAAGGAAAGAACGGAGAGAAGGAGGGGGCAGGAAGGGAAAAAAAGAAGGAAGGAAGGAAGGATTGGTTCTGAGCAAAAGAATGTTTTTTTCTATCATTCCCATCCATTTCTCAGAATAAAATAAGTAAAAAGAATAAACATTTCATACTGACATGGTCCACAACAGTATATCACTTGAACTCTTGTTCTAACATTTTGTAAAAATTATTTTTGTTGGTGTCTCCCTAGCTGCTACTGGAGAAGCTGCAATCAGTGAGCCAGCCCATTATCTCTTAGAAAATAACACCAAAAAGTTTAGTCTGTATTTACTTACATTTGTGAATTTGTGGCACCCTTCTAAACAGTAAAATAAAATGTATATATTGCTTTTACTTTAAGTTTTTCTTTGCATATCTTTATATTTTGGTCTACTAAGCAATTGTTTTAAATCATACTTTTGTTCTATGATGAGAGTTTGTGAATTTTTGCATACCTCTGAATACAGCATGCTGGTTGGGAGAACGATAATCATTTCAAGTCAGTGATATACTTACTATAAAGTAACTGGCAAAGGAAATTGTCTTGGCTAAGATACAGTTTTGTTTGCATTAATGAAATAGCTGCAATATCATTTTACATTAAGGAATTGTGGCTGATGAATTAGTTACAACAGTTTTCAAATGTTGTTCTACTATTACAGTGACTAATAAGAGCTTGATCAGTTTTTTAAAAAGGGAAAAATACAAGCTGCCCTTTTCATGGGGACAGTACATGCAGCAGATGGAATCTACATGGCTTAGGAGTCTCTGTTCATTGTTAAATGCTGGAGCCCGAGACAAAGGCAGAGGTGCTTCTTGGAATGGGGGCAAAGCCTCATGCACTCACAGTCCCTGTAGGTGAAGTCCCCACGGCTGGAATGTGCTTTCTCCCCTCATCTGTCTGGGAATGTTGACCTCTCTTTCCTGGTCCTGGACCAGGGTCTCAAGTCTAGCCGTTGGAATGAGTTCCTGTTGTCTTGCTGGGTTTCCCAACGGCACACAGCACAGTGGCCTCCCTGGGCCCAAGCTGCCCTTTGGCCACCATTCCCAACTAAGGTGACCATCCCATCTTTCCCAAGTGGGAGCATGCATGAACCATAACCCAGGCACACACATATGCATGTGCATACTCACAAACTTCTTTTGGCTTTTGTCAAAGTAGTTTCAGAGTTTTTAGGAAAAATTAAATTATGCTTCTGGCTAGAATTTCTATTTGAAAATTTTTCTGAGGGATTATATGTAACAGGGTAAATACACTTAAGTGTGTTTGACTCAAATTTCCATTCTAAAAATAACATTTCATATAGGCCTTTCAGGACCACTCAGCTGATTTTTATTTCTTTAGGAACACTTTGTTGTGTTTAAAATGGTCATACACATATACACACACAAAAATCCTAGACTTAGTCTGTGAAAGAAACAAAGGCTTGGTAACAACGAAAGGAAGAAATGTGCCTGCTGGTCAGCAGTACATCATTCTAAACACACCAGGACCCTGGTGCTTGTTTTCCTGGCAGGAATCTGAGAATTAGTAGGAGCCTTTCTCTTGTACGAGAGCCAGAGCCAAGAATCTGCTCTTTTCTTTTCCATCAGACTATCCGTGACCTTTGACCTATCAATTTCTAGGCATTTCCTCTACAGTTCATATTGTACCAGACTCCAGTCTGGGAATGGGAACGGAAAGGATATACAATTCCAGATTTATTTGTTATTGCTGAAGAGTTTACTGGTTTTAACAGAGGGAAAGGGCTTTGTTTAGATTTCCACTGAAGATAATTAATGGTTATTGACTGGTAAATGAAGAACAGGTGACATTCTGGATTAGAAGATAAATGATCCTGTGTTCTGGTGTGATAATGGGTTAGTAATTTGCCACAAAGCCCAGGCCTAGTGCATCCCATCATAATGCCAGATCATGTCCAGGAGACAAAGGCTTCTGTGTGAGAAAGATTCAGCCACTCGCCTCCATGTACAGCTGCACACATTGATCTGCTCCATTTGTTCTCTGATGGATGGCACAACTGAGGCAAAAGTTCACCCATTCTACCTTCCTGTTCACATGTGGGACCACATGACCCATGAAACACCAGGCCATAGGCTATAAGCAAATTGCCACCCAGCTTTGGATTTTGACTGGTGAAACAATCTTGATGTTACATGTTTCAGATATCAACCTTCTTTCTTTGTTGCTCAAGAAATCAAGGAGGAAAAAGAGTCATCCCACATTCTTTTGGCGCTCTTTAAGGATGTGACCGACTTAGCCACTTCCTCAGACACTTATTTACTTTCAATCCTGATTACCAGTGCACAGGAAAAAAAATCTACAGCTTTTTCATCCAGCCTACAGAGAGGAAAGCAAATCAGTTAAGGAATGTACCAGAGCTTCAGATTTTTCAACATAAAAAATGTCCCTTATTTATAAATGGGAAATGAACAATGTAGTTTTCAAATCATGACTCACATTCATTTTATATGCAAGGCACATGAGGACTGAGGGAAGTTTGACTCCATAAAAGTGGCATTTGACAACCAAGTTGAGATGAGTATAAATATTAAATTCGTACATATGCTCTCTTTTAACTATATAATTAATCTATTTGTTCTACAAATGGATTTATTTTTTGGTGGTACTGGAGTTTGAACTCAGGGCCTCATGCTTGCTAGGCAGGTGCTTTACCACTTAAGCCACTCTACCAGCCCCACAAATCTACTTTAGAAAAGCCTAAATATAAATCAAATTTTAAAAAATTCAGGTAAAAACACCCTCTCAGTCTATTATTCTGCTATTCAAATGGCTCAGGAGGCCATTGGTGAGGGCGCCGGTCTTCTTTGCTTGATAAGCTGTCAGCTCTGGTGGCTATTCACAGCTGGACCAGTGAAGGAGAACACCCAAAGTACATCACCACAGCTGACTGACTACACCTGATTCCATGCATGCCTTTTGGGGTGTGATGTTGTTTGTCTTAAAAATCTGGATTCTACAATTGCTTCTACCTCACCATTAACTTCCAGTTCAGTATCTAAGCCACAAACACTTATTAACTGAGCTGGCATCCATGAATAACAAGATTTGTTAATCAAGGTTATGTTTAACTATGTGGGTTTTTCAGTCTTAGGCTTTCATGCTACTGTCATAAAAAAATCTTAAAATGCAGCTATGTATGTGTGTATAAAAACTCATATATTTCAAAGAAAGTAATTATAAGAAAAATCATGGGGATGGGGATGCAGCTCAGTGATAGCATACTTGCTTAACATGTATAACATCCTGGGTTCAATCCTCAGTACTGTGCAAAAAAAAAACAAAGTGAATTTGAACAAATGGAAATACAGTTTCAAATTAAAGGATACAGGTGTGGATCCTTTCACATGCATACTTTACTTAAGCTATTTTGACAAAGATAGCCTGATAGTTTGGGCTGGCATCTCAAATGATCCTGTGGTAGGCCAGGCCTTAGGGTTTGTAGATCCTATGTAGGTTGGTCTCAGGGTTAGTCCAGGATAGCAACCTCTGCTCTGACATTTTTAGGAAATAAGAATCAAATGACCTAATTAAGACAAATAGCCAGGTCCAGTGGCTCATGCCTGGAATCCTAGCTACTTAGGAAGCAGAGACTGGGAGCATGGTGGTTCAAGGCCAGCCTGGGTAAGAAGTTCAGGGTCGCACATGCCTGTCATCTTAGCTACACCAGAAGCATAAATAGGAGGATTATAGTCCATGCCAGACCAGGCGTAAAACTGAGGCCCTATTTAAAAAATAACCTAAGTAAAAAGGACTGGGTGCATGGTTCAAGTGTTAGACAGCCTGTCTAGCAAGTGCAAGGTCCTGAGTTCAAATTCGAGAACTACCAAAAAAAATTGTATTAACAAAACCAAATAGTATAAAACCAAAGCCTAATTTTATGGCCCTCTTAATATATTCATTTTCTTATTGACCCTCTCACTCTATTAATTTCTTCATGCCACCTTTGTTTAAAGGTCTTTCAGATGTTTTTAT